AATTAAACAATAAATAAATAACATACATAACTAATTAAGACAATTAATTAAAGAAATATTTAAATAAGACATTAAAATAAATATTATTATTTTTATTGAAATAAGTGATAATTTGAATAAAGTAATTAAATATTAAATAAATAATATACATAACCAATTAAGATAGTTAATAGAGAAATATTTAAACGAGAAACCAAATTAAATATTAATTTTTTTATTTGAGTAGGTGTTTAAAATAAATAATTAAATAAGGTCCAATTAAGATAATTAATTAATGAAATATTTAAAAGAGAAACCAAAATTAAATATTAATTTTTTATTTGAATAAGTGTTTAAAATAAATAATTAAATAATTTATTAAATATACATAATCAATTAAGATAATAAATTAATAAAATATTTAAATGAGAAATCAAATTAAATATTAAATTTTTATTTAAGCAAGTGATTAAATAAATAATTAAATAAAGAAATTAAATATTAAATAAATAATATACATAATCGATTAAGATAATTAATTAATGAAATATTTAAACAAGAAAGTAAATTTAATATTAATTTTTTTAATTTGAGTAATTGTTTAAAATAAATAATTAAATATAAAGTGAAAAGTGTTTGATTTTTTAGTTTGTAAATTAAGGGTATTTTTATCTTTTGAAAGAAAATTCTATTTTTGTAATTATATAAACTAGTTAAGGGTATTTTTATCTTTTACTCAATAATAGGCTATTTTGGTGATAGGCAAATTTTTTTTGATTAAAGTGAAAAATTGGCCCATTGACTTGACCAAACTAAAAATTACCCCTCTTTCATTACCGTCTAGTTAAAGCAAGAAAGAAATTCCTCTAGTTTTCAATTTTCCTGTCGTTAAATTCATAGATGGAGAATCAGATTCCTATGGCAATGGCAACGGAGATTGAAAGAGGCACAAAAACTCAGGAAGATCAATGGAGGGTGGAGAGTCAAGTTTTCCAGATTTACAATTTATTCCAAGGAATTCCTCCCAATTCACAATTCGCCATGTCAGCTCCTTATCACTTTCATTAACTAGGGTTTAATCACCAACGTATCATTGTTTGATCAATTTTCGAAATTTGAGTTAATTGTTTGATTTTGATGTTGGTTATGCGGGTAAAAAAAATTAAAGATTAGAGCTTCAACGAGACAAGCATATAGAATATCTCACTAAAGGTTTCAAGCAACTCGGTCGCAGTTTTACTGTTCTGGACGCCAAGTACGCTACTCTCTCTCTACTTTTTTTGAGTTATCTGAAAATGAAGATTCGTTGATTTTATAATAGCACATTTGGCTTACTAAATTCTAAAATAAATAATTTTTTTAGCCGTGACAGTCAGAGACTTATTTATTGTATGTTAACAGGCGGTTTGAGAAAAGAAACTTTCTTGAATATTCATTGTGTTCATTGCTAACTTGCACAAAAAATACTTCATTTTGGATTAAACACTTCTTCTGTTTTGTGTTTTGCCTATATGCAGTCGACCCTGGCTTTGCTATTGGATGCTCCACTCAATTGCCTTGTTGCGAGATTGTGTTGATGACAAACTGGAAAATGATTGCATAGATTTTCTCAGCCGTTGCCAGGTTTAAATTCTTTTTCTACTTTAGTGCACCAATATGGATAGTTTCCAGCACGTGACTCTGTGTGTGTAGAGAGAAGGATTTTGTCTTTCAGTAAGATATCGAATAGAATCACTTATAGTTGGTCACACACTTTACTAAACCAGAAGCATACCTCTACTAGAACTCAAAAATTGTAACATTGAGTTTGGGGGCAAAATAGGGGCATTGCTGATGAAATTAGAAATGTTTCATTTCTATATCGTACGAACCTTTACAAATTCTTATCTAAAAGATGCAGCTTGATAGAGTCAAATGTGTCGAGAAAGAAGACACAGAACCTATTAACTTCCAAAAACCAGCTGAGGAAAGCCTGCAAAAGGTTTGGATACCAGTTGGAATAACTATACTAAGCAACATTTGTTCCAACTTAAGCAATGACGGATTAAACTATTCATACACTGGCTGGCTGCTCCTCTATACTCGATACGAATAAATCAATGTGAATGAGTCTTATTTTCAATCTTTCTATTTACTATAGTATGATTTGGAGTTGATTCTTTGCATAAAAGTTTGAATATTGATCTTGTCTTGGGTTATAGTATCTTCAATTTCTTCCCAAGTTTGTCAATTTCTTTAACTGTATTTTTAATCCCAGTTCTGTTTATTGTTTATTCTTACTGACAGGACCCAAAAGGTGGATATGGTGGTGGACCAGGTCAGGTAGATTAATTTTTTCCAATTTAGATCGTGTTACTTATCCTTTTGAAAGAATTTCCTTTTCAATGCCATGAGCACTTTATATTCCTTCAAGCTTAAATTCCATTACCTTTCCCTTCTCTATTCCAACTTTAATGCATGAACTCACTTATTTGATGGCAATAGTTGTAGTTGTCTGTTATCTTTGATATGTTTTTGTCTCAATCTTCTACTCTTTCTCTTGGTAGAGTTCACCTAAATCATTCCTTGTACTAAATATTTACACAACAAACTTCATTTTGGAAAGTTATGAATTTATCATAATTGGGTTGATATCGTCATTCAATGAAGTCTTATGGGTTTCTTTTTCATTTGCATAGTTGTCATCACTATATCTTTTTCTAGCAGTCATCAGTTTTGCCTGCTCAAAGTTTGTAGACCAAAAAAAATAAAATGTTTTAGCCTTTGTTTGGGTTCCATTTTAATTTTAATGCATTTTTCTCTTTCTTTTTTTCATCCACACATTTTCAATATTATTACACGTATACCAAAAACTTTTCCTTCTTTTTTAACCACACATTCTCCAAAAATCACCATTCCAAAATATATCTTTTCCTGAAACCTCATTAAAATGGAGCCAAAACAAGGGCTCAGTCTTTTTATAAATAATAAATAGAGGAAAGATTTGTATCTACTCTTCTTTTGTCTCGAAGGGAAATAAAGAAAGTCCTTTAAGGAAATTGGAATTTCATTTTTGGCATCCTTCTTGAAATTATAGATCGTACAAGATACTTTCCTTATTTATCTAGAACTGCAACAATACTAACTTGTTGAAGTGTTCTGCTTGAAATACTCCCCATCCCACCTCCTTTCTTCGAAACTTGAAAGAACTCAAGTGTTGGTATAAAGCTATTTAAGTTATATTAACTGTTTTTCTAGAAATTTTAAGCATCTTTTAAATGCTGTATTTTCTTGGAGTAAGATTTCTTTAATTGATTCTACATATAACAGTTGACCTCTTTCTACTTATTTTCAGATGCCTCATCTCGCAACAACTTATGCTGCAGTCAATTCACTTATTACATTGGGTGGTCATAGATCTCTGTCATCAATCAATAGGTGGGCACATTCTATGCTGTTAACTTGCACTCTTGTATTGCTGGTAATCAAATATGACTTCAGTTTCTTAATGTATTCCAGAAGAACATTTTATGATTTTTTGCTGCGAATGAAGGAGAGAAGTGGTGGCTTCAGGTGAGACATAACGTTCGTAAGTATATAGAGCAATGTTATACTGTTAGTTCTTTAATAGGAGATTACCAATTTTTAATTTTTTTTTCCTCAAAGCTATTTCATATCATCATATGGTCATCGTATGAAACTTCAAATGCTGTCTTTATCTATATGGACACAACAATTTGCATTCTTGTGCATTTGTGTTCTCGATCGATAGCTTAGATGTGAGTAGGATAAGAAATCACTTGAACACAGATAAACCCACCCATTGTCTCGCACTGTTCTTTCGATCTCTGACCCTCACACTTTCATGCAGATTTGTGTTAATACATGTATGCACCATTTATGTGCCTTTTATTCCCTCAAGTTCTGGAGTCTGATTATCTTCAACAATGATCTTTCATGCACTTACATTGTCTATCTATATCATTTCCTTTCAGGATGCATGATGGTGGGGAAGTGGATGTTCGTGCCTGCTACACTGCTATATCTGTAAGTTAAAGTTCTATTTAATATGTAACAGTTAAGTTTCACGGTAATTGAAATAATCCAGAATACTTCAAAGGATATTAACTTTTTAGAATGGCTGGTAGTTGGAAGATATAAAAAAAACTAATAAAAAGCCATTAGTTAACTCAATAATAATTTTACACATAACCGTGCATAGCTACTAAAAATGATAGGTTAAAATTGGAATTTGAGAACATAATGCAAGATCTTGTTTCTACATTTTAAGTCATAGGCATCATATTTTTCTTGACAAAAATTATGTCCAGGGCATGGTATAATATATGTAGGCTTAAAGCTATTTATGTTAAGTGGTTGGGTAAAGGTATAAACAAGCGGTCAAATGGACACAATATTAATAATTAGTAAAGTTTGGCTGCCAACTTACCTCTAATGTCTAACAAGTGTTACAAGTTCTATGTGCATTTTCAGTTAAAGATATATCCAACTTGTTGCCTGGTCTCATGGCTCTTCCCCATTGCATACTTTAAAAAGCACAATGGCTAGACTTGGGGTTCAATCTGCTGGTGAACTGCTATGAGTGACTTGCTGTCCGGTTTTTATTACAGTTTGATTCAACTTTTTTACATTTTGTGACTGAATAGAACATCAATTTCTTGCCTTATGAGGTTTAGATGGTAGAACAAAAATGTACAATTGGTAACTGTCTTTTTATTATGGAATTTACCTTGTCCATTGATGTCTTCAATATTTTTGAATTAATTAGGCAGCCAGTGTTCTGAACATTTTGGATGATGAGCTGACTCAAAATGTTGGAGATTACATCGTGAGGTTAGTTTTGATTGATTACTTGATATATTCCCTGACCTTAAGCTTATTCTTTTCTTTTCTCCCCCCCCCCCCCCCCCCCCTTTTTTTTTCCTTGCTGTAATTCAGCTTTGCTCTTTTGTTTACATTTGCTTGGATCTTTGTTAGGATATCTAAGGATATAAAAGTGCCTTGCTTCAATAAGCATACTCTTCGTTATATGCATAATTTTTTAAGAGGTTTATATTAATTGCATCAAGATTTGTGTAGCAGACTTCCTAGTTCATTCTCAATGCATCACTGTTCTCCCTTAAAAATAATATTTTAGTGATTTCTGAGTTGCAAGATTAATTTCTGTTATGAACTGTTGGAATTCCGTAGTGGAGAGATAAGGTGTAGAATCTCCTGGTGGTAAGGTTCTGTTGTGATGCTGCGAACATAGAATTGTAATGTATTTTCATGCCACCCATCTTGAGTGAATAGGTTCCGCTTTGACGAGGGGGTTCGGAGCCAAGAAATTATTGTTCCAGTGCATTCGATAGTTAAGAATGGTAAATAAATAATGTAATAACTAAACAGTACTGAAAATGGCATACCTTACAATTGTTCCTTGCGAGTTTTCCAACTTTGATATCTATTAAAGTTCTAGTCCACGATCCGTGGGAAGTTCTGCAACATCAAAATGCATTGTATTTGATATCCGCATCAACACTTTCTGCAACATATTTGTCTTTTAAGGAATCTCTCCATGACCTTTTCACAGTCAAACAAACAAGTGAAAATTAGTCATTTGAACAGATAGAGTAGTGCAAAAATAAAATCCGATGCAAATTCCCAAATTTTTAAGAGAATGTAGTTTATGAACAAGTAAACATTAATGAACACCCAATTTTTGGCCTTCCAATTAAATATGTTCAAGTTCCCCCTTCCCAATCAAGGAATCACCTCATAATGGGACACGAAGTTGCAGGAATTGATAATTTAATCATCAAGGTAAAGGTAATTCTCTCTTCCTCTTCGTTATTGACTTAATTTCATTATTTTAAATGGAGCAGGAGTCAAAAAAAATATTTTACCTTAATTCTTAAATTGTTCTTTCTTTCTCTTCCTTGCTGGCTACTTCTTGAATTTCAAATTTTCAATCTCTCAAAATATGCAGATTGCAGTCCGCGGAAATATAAATTCAATCTTAACAATAAATAAGCGACTGCAAATTGTTTAAAAAAAAAAAAAAATACAGTAAGGCAAAGAACACAAAGGATTCGTTTACCTTAACCAAGTGCTAACTATTAGCTAAACAGCTTGGAGACTTGGACTTTGGAGAATTGGAGTTGGAGCCTAGAAGGAGTGAAGTCACTGGCATGGGCTCTTGAAGAACCAAAGTTGACAGAAGGGTTTTCTAATTGTTGGAGCAATGATTGATGCTTATCTGCTTCTCCTTCATCTGATGTTCTTTTTTTTTTTTTTTTTTTCGGGGTGTGTGCGTGTGTTAAGGTCAATGGGTCTTTCAGATTTAGTTGGCCCATTTAAGGATGTTTCATTTTTTATTTTTTTCTTTAACGAGGACAGCTCAAAGTTAAGTACAGGCGTCTGCCTGTACTCGACTGTATATGGCTCTACCCCCGTTGACAAGGATCCTTTACGTAGCCACTTCTCAAATCTTGTTCAATGAGACATTCACTATCCTATCGAATATCTTCTTAGTGTAAGCTTTTCACTGTCTTCAGAAAATTTCAGGAATGAGATTAACAATTCCTTTAATTGAATAAAAAATAAGTCAGACTAACAAGAAGGTTTGTAGAAGCATATTTCGTTCCAATACAAAAACTCAACTTTTTGTCCGCAAAGTTGGTCCTGCAGAAAATCTTTGTAGTCACTTGTACTCTTTGTTGGGTACGTAGAGCACTAGTGAATCTCACATGATGATGTTACTTTATAAGGCTGAACATATAATTTCATCCTGCAGTTGCCAGACTTATGAAGGGGGAATTGCTGGTGAACCAGGTTCTGAAGCTCACGGCGGGTAAGTTCTATACCATACAGGCATACACAACATAGTAGTTCACTTCCTTGATTTTTGTAGCAAACTTCTGTAGAATGTTAGTATAATATGGTTTGTATGGTCGCTTATGTTTCTTGAATATATGTTTTTACGTGCTTCATAGCTTACCCCCTTATTTTCATGTTTATGTGGTGAAGCCCTTTCAATCTGACCGTTATTTGTTAGGTACACATTCTGTGGTTTGGCTGCAATGATTCTAATAAATGAGGTCCATCGTTTGGACTTGCCTGCCTTAATTGTAAGTAGATCACCTTTCTTTTTCTTGGGTTTTATATTGTTCTTCATACGGCCCATTTCGTGTAGTTCTATTGGTCAAGTGTTATGGTTTTAGATTTTGACACTGGCGTTTAGTGTTGGTTTTAGATAATACCGTATTTACAAATGCTTTAGATGTGGGCAATTTTTCATTATTATGATGTGAGATCCCGTCTTATGGGACTCCTCAAGAGATACATATGAAGGCAGCTCAATCTCTTTTTCCTTCTTCGCGGAGGTGTATTCCTATAGAGCAAAATCTTTGGTGTCATTTGCTTGGTTGGCGTATAATTTTGTGGGGATCTAGAAGCAAACTTTAGAATAAACTTCACATAGTAGCATTTTAATTCGACAACGAATAATTAAAGAACAACGAGAGAAAGTGGGTGGGTCCAAGAAAAGAATTAAGGTCAAAGAAGAAAATCAATTTATCATATACTCAAGGGTCTCTATTACAATGAATAAGCCTTCTATAAATAGAGCTAATAATCTAAAATAAATAGAACTTCTAATAAGCTAGAACTTTATCGAATTATTATAATTAATCTAATTTAATTAAAATAAACATACTTTTGAGTTAATTTTTAATTTAAAATCCTATATGAACTGTATGTTTATTCTTTATCAATAAATATCTTTATAATGTCTCTATCTTCATCATTTTTCCCTGGTTGAGAGAACTCAACTTTGACGAGGTATATCAAAACTTCTCACCAAGGGGGATGATCTTTGTTCCTGATCAAATAACGCAATATATCCTATGATGGCAATTGAACTTGCAAGTTATCTCCAAAAATATAATTTGATCAAGGGAGACGATCCCCCTAACCAAAAAGCGATAGGGAACTCCATAAAGTAAAAAATTATGCAATTTCTCCACAAAAACTTCAATTGACAGTGCATAATGAGGAGCACAAGGGACTATCATGGTAGACTGGTATAAAGAAAAAATGATTACATCATCAGAGGCACGAATGGGCCTTGTTAAGGAAATAATTTCTCTATATTGAAAATATAACTTTCATTCAAGTGTGATGGTCAACCAAATAGATTATCTTTATGTTAATGACCAAAAGCCCCTTTTAGGAAATTGGGTTAAAGACACAATAAAGCATTGTAATTGAAGTCCTCGAGCTTATATTACACTACAAAAGTAGGTTAAAAAATTTATTCGAAAATAACTTTTCTTTTTATTTTGATATGAAATTTAGGGAAAATTGACAAGAAAAGGAGGAGCTAACAAAACATGTCGATAATTAGTGGGCAACATCCGAAAGATAAGAAGAGTATGTAAGTGAACAATTGCTTTGGAAAAAAGATGCCATCTGCAAGGTAACACCAAAACAGAGTCAAAGTGAAAGTCATGATACCAATTGAGGACACATGGAATGTTTAACTTTAGGTCGATGCTATAGGTAATTCCTCAACATAGTGTTAGGTGTTTCGAATAAGTGTGATCACGATAGGGGACACAATCATTGCGATACAATGGGAGGATAACTGAACTATAATTATCTAAACAAACCTCTTAAAGATTTTATAGACTTTGACAGGTAAAGTTTGATCTTGTCAGCACTTTACTTTTCAAAAAGCCTTATTACCATATTCATTGCAACATGACAAATCTTCTTATTTTCCTTTTTTCACACTATCTAAAAGAAGGGTTAAGTTCAAATAGAGATTGTCACTTTTGTCCAAGACAATGGTCATAATTGTCTATATGGATGTGAAGATATTTCCTATGTGAGTTTTTGTTAGGGCTGAAAAAAATATTGGAACATGACAGTTATCATATGAACATTATCTATAGTCCTAAGTATACTCCCTTATCATACAAGTTGGTGGATTTCTCAGTGAGAGATGCAAATGATATGATTAATGAAAAGATATCCTGCATTGACTCATCATTATAACAAGTATGGGTGTAGTAATACAGAATATTTCACTAAGGCAAGAGGTAACTGCTACTTGTAGAGCAATAATGGATGTTTTATGAGCTTACATGAGATCACTGCAATGATAAGTGTAGAAAGGGATGTGAATAGGTAAATAGCAGGTAATTGATCTACTTGTGAAAGCAAATTCTTAGTTTTTCTTATAAAGATACAAGTTCATTAAAAGAAGATGAGCCCTTATTTGGTCCCCTTTTTTCTAAAGTACATTTTTCTCTCTTATTTTAAATCGCACATTCTTCAGTAAAATAATATTATACGCAAACACAAAACTTTTCCTTATTCTTTAATCACATAATCTCCATCAAAATACTATTCCAAAATGTATTTTGGACAAAAAAATAGACTGAAAAGGCTATAAATACTAAAGAAAGGTTTTTTTTTTTTTTTTTTTTTTTTTTAAAAATT